CTTATTTACATGATGTAATCAACATAGAAATAAATATGTTAATCCTTTTATTTCAATCAGAAAAATCCAGTCCAGTAAATCGAGGGAATGATGATCAATCAAAAACCTGCAGGTTGGGTGACGTCTTTCCCTGAAGGCCGGCCTTGCATATAAATATGGGACCCAATAGGATTATCAGACCAACAGACAGTATGATTTAAAAAAAAGAGAATATGTTAATGCAGTAAAAAAAAGGAGTTTTTGGGATGACAAAAAATGCTATAATTCTGTCACTTAAAGTCGTAGGTAAATCATACATAAATGTCAAATCATTCTGGCTTAAACATGTATATAAATCTACTCTTTATCAGACCATATTGTCCCAAAATGTAGAAAATTTCAGTTTAAAAAAAAGAAATCCTTTCTTAAAATCTGTGTTTTTTTTTTTCCTTATCTTATGCAGTTAGAAATAAAACCTCCTTTAAAACTTTAAAACGAAAACTGAAAACTTTTCACCAGGAGCTGAGATCCTGCAGCTCTGAGGGCCGTTCTGCTGTAGATCTTGGCTAAATAGATCCCACGTAGCTTGGAAATATTTAAAATCTTTCCAGAGAACCTGCAGTTAGGAAAATGAGGCGAGTACGATGCGGCCGACTGTTTATTTATGGAAATGGACGTGTAAAGAGTTCATAATAGCCGCCGGCTGCAGAACTAGTTAATCATCATCAAAATGTGTCGTCGTCTAAACTAAGGATAATGAAACTGCACCGGGTCTGGTGGTTCTGCTGCTTTTAGACCAGTTTCTGATGAAGAACCTCCAGAACCCGGCTGGCTGAGTTGGACCAGGATGGATCTAAACCAGAGGTCATGGATTATCCCACCAACCTGATTTAAAACATTTATAAATTACCGCAATATTGTCCAACGACGGTGTCTAATTTCCCTTGTGCCGCTTCTCCTGGTAATACGGTAAAGCCCTGGGGAGCGTCCGGCTCCAGGCTGCACGTGATCCAAATGAGCCTGCTGGAAGAACTGCGGTGAACTGGTGAAAGAAAAGTGAAATGGCGTGCTCAAAGATGACC